ACTACTACTACTACTCCTCTGCTGCATCGAGTTGCTTCTGCTACTGGCATTGGCACGAATAAGATGAGCCTGTTTCTGGTAATGATGCAGGTGACGATGGTACTTGTAATGGTGATGATTGCTCGAACCAGTATGACACCTGAGGTTCTGGCAACCTGCTCCTCGTGCGATTTCAATATGGCCCCATGCTGCTGCTGCCTGCTGATGAGCTGTTCGCCGAAACACTCAAGGATTTTCGGCTCATGCACGGCTCAGGGTTACGGGGTTAAGGACTTCGAGTTGTGACTTTGGATCCTGCCGCAGGAGCCATGCATCAACTTGTTCGTCCGAGTTGATGCAGTGATTTAGTTTTAAGACTCCGTGATTCTTGCACGACGGGAAGTCACTCGTATTCTTCTTACCACGATTTCTCAAGGGCGTGGAACGAGCTGTGCCACCGAAAATCGCTCAAACCACGCAACATCGTTCAACAAGTCAAACCTTTCTCATAAAGGGCACAAAGATTTCATGGCCTTTCATAAGAACCTCGTGAAACAGTATAGGCCTTCAGAAAGCACTGCGTTGCTTCGATTTTTCATTTCCAAATTAAGGAGCCATAGAACGGCACTTCGAGACACCGTACCTGTGCATGCATTCAAACACTGAATTTAAGGTTTGGTCTTGTTTCTCGCCACTTCAAGTTCGACACGAGAAAACCAAGGGACATGTGAGGACCTGCCTGAACTGACAGGGAATCCGAGTTACGTCAACCTTGACGACCCATTTCGTTGCATTTGCTTCCGCGGTATCTCTGACTCAGTTTTTCTCTGCAGCTGACATGACCAGGGCATAGCTGTTGTATGGGACTGACAGAAGCCACTCACGTATGCCATTCTGTACAGAAAGGACATGCTGATCCTCAAGTTCAAGTGCCTTACAGTAAGTGCGAACTTCAAGCAAAAGTAATTTGCAAAACACAACAAAGGACCGAATGCTTCTTGGGTTAGGGTGAAAAGATAAGGATCGAAACGACTTTGCAAGTCATTGGATGGAGTATGTGCACGGGATTTCAGAGCCTATAGCTGCTACCACACACGAATACTCAGCCGCCCACTCATCGCATCTTGCGATGTACTCCACCTGCCAGGGAAGCAAACTCGAGGAATCCCTGATCCAGAAAACCTTACGTCCGAAGTCCTGAAGCCCAAAAGTTCTCCTTCAGCGCAACCCAAACACATGTCCTTGTTCTCTCAACACCCTGAAGCCCTATGTAGACCCAAAGACTAATCACTAATCCCCACACTCCATTTCCTTCGCAGGATTATACGGGTTCGCATAGATCGCAAACCGTGTACAATCACTGAAGGTTTGTCGAACCGACAAACTCGCAGTTGTTGTAGGCTTCAGTGTCCTGACAGCAGGTAAGTATTTGTTCTCATGCCCACAACCGACTCGATGATGGAACAGCCCCGACTCTTCAAGTCTTGGGCTGGGACCTTGGAGGTGAATCTGTCTGCACTGCCCTATGACGTTTTTTACAGCTGTTGCTTCAGAATGGCTTCTTGTTTTGGGGGGAGGGTGCCAAGGGCAGCAAGGCGAAGAGCTGGCCGAAATCAGACGTCGCTTCTAGAGCCCGGGTATGTGCCTCTTTTTGGTGTAGTAGCTGCATCTGCTGGTCCATGTTTCGATCCTGCAGGCGCATCAGGAATTGCAAGGGATGCTAGCATCTCGCGGTAAGAAGTCTGCTTTGTTGCCGGCTCCGGGAAAGATGCCGTGCAAACGCACCGAAGCCATATGATAGATGGTCCTCCACTCAGATGCAATATTGTCCGGCATGTCATGCTGTCAGAAGCAAGTGAAAGACTGGCTTTGGGCCCCCGCAACATGCCAAGGACTAGGCGGACCGTCCTATGTGACGAATTATTGGAAGAATGTACGGGCATGCTGTTCTTCGTTTGGTCAGCTGGCCCAGTCAGCCGGCTAAACCGATTGGCGAGATCCAACTTGATTCGGATGAGCGTGCGCAAAGGTGCATGCATAAACTGGGCCAGGGCACTAACGTCCCAATGTCAACGGGTGCTGGGTGCCCAAGCCTATCCGGCATTCCTAATGTCTTCCGGATGCCTCAATTTCTGGCAGTACTCAACTAGTCGCCAAGGCTGCGAATTGTTGTTTCTGATTCTTGCTGTGCGGCAGATGATCATGTCGGATCGTATAACATGTCAATTACTTGGACCCGCTTCTGGCCTTCCACCGACATCCACGAGCTTTGGAAGCTGCACTGGTTGCGACATGCTTTTGCTGTGTGATTGTGCTATCGCAGAAGTCCACGGCCACCGGCGGCTCGTGCATTGTTCAACTCCCTTCTGTCCCCAGTGAAGGTCCTCCCACTTCCAACCTCCATGTACGTTCAAATGCCTTGCTCTGCGACTCTGCGACAGCTCCGCTTTGCCATATTGCCAGCTGGCTCTGGCTCCCTGGCATCCGAAATCGCGGTGTCATGCTAGAGCCTCTACATTCTACCTGCGCACGTGGTTCGCGGAAAAGAATAGATGCGCAGTGGCATGCGGCTCTTGTGATGCTGGCTACCCACTAGACTACCGGGTCGATAGCATGCTCACGTCGTCTCACGTGGCAAGATGGAGAGCGATCGAATCCATCGTCGCTCGCACCTTTGCCGCTTGTCGGTCCGGTTTGCACAGAATGTTCACCAAAATTCTGTTTAGGGGGAGACACACCCATGAGCTGCTCGTTGGCACGACGATGAGTACGCAGGCTCGCCAGCTTCTGTCGCAGAGTTTTTAACTCGACCTTCCGAATCCACCTTTGAGTTTTGAACCTTCGCTTGTCAACTTGTTTCTTAAGAAGCAGGTCACTGATCTGCTGCATGTTTTGGGCTCTCATCTGCGAACTTAGTTTGCTTGCAACTGCACCTCAGCGACTCACAACCAACTTCAGTTCACGATTTGCAGCAACGAGCTGGGATATCTATTGGCAACTTAAGTTTTTGCGATCGCAGGACTCGTGAACGTCCGCTTCCGGGAAAAGCTCCTCGTCCGCATCGCCGGACAGGTCCACTTGACTCATCTCGAGCCTCGGAATGGGAATGAGACCGAATGCTCTGTAATGTAATTATTCGTGGTCTCGGGTGATATCAAGAACCTCTGTTCAGGTTTCCGAAAACCTTGCGCTCTCTGGCTCGGCCTGCCCGACAACTAAAACATGTCCGCAGCTTGCTAAGACTTACTATATGTAGCACCAGAACGCAGTGCAGAAGTGTGGCATCTCACGCTCCAGGGACTCGTGCTACCCCGTGTCTCAAAGCATGCAAGAGAAGCGGCCCTGCTTTGCTGCCTCATGGATCGCAGATGAATAAGTCACTTCAGGCTCACTTCCTCCCTATGCTGGGGATCCGAGCACAGCGGCCTCGGCCGCCGCACGGCGCTGAGCCGATTCCCCCAGCCTCAAACTGCGCAATGCTGTATGCTTTCCATTGCGTGCCTGTGGTACACAGCCGGAAGCGTGCAGACAGATCCAACGCGGCCGCGAGACCAAAATCCATGGCCAAGACATCACTCATGTATATCGCGGAAAGCAACTTCCCTATCCGCAGCTCCACAACAACATTGGCTACAGCCTTTTGGACAAATCCGTACGATGAGCTAAGATGGGCGAGCCGGATTCCTTGAACACGTAAAGTTTCTGCTTCAATCCTATATTCAGCTCACAATGGTAATAGTCTCTTACTGGGCTTTCCCACGCATCGCCCAGCGAGGAGCGTGCAGCATGGAGTTCGCGGAGCGCCACCTCGTATAGCTTTCCGGTGCTCATTTGCTGCGCAGGTTTTGCACGCCCGTGGATCCTTCAGGCCAGCTCCCTCAAAAACCCTCTCCTCCAAACCTCGGCTTCAGTTGTGCTTTAATTGCCGGCCTCCAGAGGTCTTTGCCAGCCGTCAGGGCCCTGACCGCGAATTCAGGGCTCTTGGCTTCCAAGCACGGGTTAGAGGATTGGACCCAGCGAAAAATCTTGTGATCATCGGCTTGGGATTTTGGGGCTAGGAGTTCACTGTTGCAGCCTCCTTGCAAAACTTCAGGGAGTCTTTTGAGAGAGGGTGCGGACGCGAAATATCCAGAGGCACTGCTGTCAGAAAAAGGCTCTAGGTCCGAACTCAACCCAAACTAGAGGACCAAGATCAGAACCACGGAACATCGGCCTGAACATCCGCAGCCTCCATCGGCAGGGCCCTGAGTCGCCAGCTGCAGCTTCAGTGAGCTAACTGGGATGCACCAGCCCCGTTCACTCCCCCTTGCCCGCGAGCACATTTGTCCAAGGATTCGCCCTCGGAACGCTTTCTGATCCGGATCGGATCGAACTGCCCCAGGCAAAGCTTCAAACGTTGCGTCCCAACCTGAAGTTCAACCTCGCTGAGTTGACATAACTGAAGTGGACGTATCTACACAAGATCAAGAGGGGTTCCAATGCACGAGGCAACATGAGGTGAAGAGCCTTGTCGGCCGGCCTTGTGTCTTGACCGCACCATCGAGGACGTTTGGAGGTGGCTCGGAGGCTCGCGCTTTGTTGCTTGCAAGGACTTCTCGGGCGCTCTCACGTACCCCCAAACTTCCCGCAGCTGCGGCAGGCGCTCCTCCGCCGCTCGTCGACGAGCTGCTGCTGTGCTTGGATCACCTGTTCCAAGGTCCTAAACTCTGGGTTTTTGTCATGACCTCCTGAAGACTTTTTTAAACAGAAGGTTCGGGTGTCACTGAGGGAGAACATTGGAACATGCATTTCGAGCCGCTTATGGTCTGCCTTGGCGCCGGAGGCTTCACGTCTGGGTGCAGGGGGTTCGACGTCAACGGCTAGTCGACACATCCACAAACCTTGACCGAGCCTGGCCAAACAAGACCTGCGATGCCTGTAGCTAGAATACACAGGCTCTTGCTGAAGTTCATCCCTCTGAAAGACAGGCATGGAACCGCAACACGCTCAGGCTCGTCATGTTGCTACGGTGCTTCGCACGTGAATGCGTTTGTGTGCCCACGCTGCTGGACTAATGCTTGCGCGGCCGTTTTCACAAGCCATCATTTAACAACTCCTACCCGCTGCTTGAAAAGCCTATCAGAATGGCTGTCATGCAGACGAAAAGCAATCCAGCCAAAAACCCCACAACTCTCGCACCCTGAAGACCCCAAATGCCAGCATCCCAGACTCCAACTCCAACAGGCTGAACTCTCGCGCATGCCTCGAGCAGGCTGGACTAAAGGATGAAGGCAAAACGATGCTGATGGCTGCTGCTTCTGAAGATCATGGATGTGATTTCCGGACCCAAGATTCGATGTGCGAAAGCGAAGACTTCCAGCGCTTTTCCCCGGATGCTGTCTAGGGACAAAGGGCCACGTCCTCAGCCTTCAACCCACGGTCTCAATCCCTAAGCAGCTGTCATAGCTGCTGCCCCGAATCCCAGACCCTGAATGGCTCACAGATTTCCTTACGCCTGCCGAAACCAATGTAGATATCGACCGGTGAAACACGTGTAGGTGAACAGCAACACCAGGCACAACACATCGCAACGAGCCAAGTCCACCGCGTTCGGGATAACAGTGACAAAGTACCAATACGTGGAAGAAGAGCAATCATCGGCATCAGCAGCAGTAAGAATAAACAAATGAAAGAAGCTTCGAAAAGTGACATCACAGACTCCCCTTAAGGCCCTTCCCCTTTGAAGCCTCGGAGCTGTTGATGAGCTGAGCTTCAAGGCCCTGGCGGCTGTGCCTTTCTGAGGTGTCACAGTTGAGTGGTCGCCGTACTCGGAGAGTGCAGTTCAGAGTTTGGGGCTTTCAGACTATGATTCATAAACGGTTTGTGAGAAGCTGATTTACGACTGAGGCACTTGCCGGCTGGCGATTCAGCCCCGTTGAGACAGCAAGAATAGGACAACCAGGGGGTACTCAAGAACTCGCATGCCGCTTGACGGTTTTTGGATTCTGGATCGCTGGAAAGGTTTGGAACCCCAATGAAGTTCGGCTTCGAGGCCATTCTGTTGTTTTCGGGTGCTGGCTTCAGGTTTGAGGTCGGGCGAGGCTCCTTGTGTCAGATTGAACGCGAAGATGAAAAGAATCCTCTGTATGCATGTATGCGTACAGTGTGCATATACAGCCTCATGTATAAACGAACACACAAACACACACAGCCACGCGTACGTTGCATCAAAGGTCAGAGACCGCCAAGGGTTGCATCACGTGCAGGGTGCGGTCAGGGTTCTCGATCTCTTCGAGCAGCACCGCTTCCAGCGCTCCACGCTCCTGGCTGGCAAGAGCTCTGGCATCGATTGCTCCTTCAAGCCTTCTTCGAAGCATGCTTTGACGAGAAGGGGGACAAACCCTTCCTTGGGTCTGCGGTGTCGTAGCCACCGCGGATGCTGCCGAATGTTGCTCGTATAGTGCGTCTATCGCTTGAAGCCGTCCAAAACGACTGGAGTCCTGGATGCTTGTTGCGACGATGGCCTGTTGGCCAGCCCCTGCCGCCGAGAGATCAGCAGGCACCTTCAAGGCTTTTGACTGCGGGCTCAGGCTGTTGAGGCTGCTTTGACTTTCTGGAAGCCACCTTGTAGAGACCTGTACTTTGAAGCCAAGACTCCCATGCTGCCTCTGCATGGGCTGTATGCTTTAAAGATTCAACTGAGATCTCGACAAATTACCAATA